TAGCTTTAGCTTTAGCCTCTTTAGCTTAAAAAATTTCACAGGTAATCGAGCAACGATAGCACGTGAGTTAAGGATGCCGCCGCAGCATCCTCAGATGTTTGTTTTACTTTGCGTAACATTCATTAAATTGTAGAATTGCAACTTTGAGCACGTTCATTGTTACTTTAATAAAATTAATATATAAGCGTCATAATAGTCAGACTCGAGGTTCTTCTTGTATCAAACTTAAGACTATACAATAAACTAGTTCCCGTGGGCGCATTTGTTGGACACGAATTTCCTCGCGCTCACCTCGCGCGGAGACCGCGTTGCCTCCGCGCAGCGACCGCGAGCATCTAACAGGTATGGCAAAGTACGCTCTATTTATTTTACTTTTACGTTTTAACTTAAATGAGCATCCCGGGCGCGCGGGCAAGGTTGACTTGTCTTTGGTCTACGCGGCGACCGCGCCGTTGAATTAATCAGAGGAATTTAAATGTTGTTGCCTAGTAAATAGAATACAGATTCGCCATTAATGTAATAACGTGAATGCGCGGTAACTGGGCGGTCGCCGCATGGCCGCGAAAATTTTCGCGTTGTGTAATTGAGCCCGCTTTTTACTTTTCCTCAAGAGGGAGCATGCCAAAAAAATTTTTGACGTTGGCTTCGCCCAAATTTGTGTAACAAATATATGCCTGAAGTTCGCGCGACATGCGACAGGAGATGTTGAATTTAGCGCATTAAAAGTACCAAATTCGTTTTAGCGGAATAACTCTAGAACTAAAGGGATTAAAAAAAAATCCGTAGTGACAGTTGTCGATCATGCATAAATATAATTAATTATCTAATTTTTGTACTAATAACCTGTAGCATTTCGAGGATAAATCGAAAAAATGTGAAAATAAGAGGTCATTTCGTGATTTTTATCTATCGAGGAAACTTTATTGTTTTATGTTTCTGATTAATGTCTATGCTTGAATATATCGTGTAGTTACTCATACAATATTTTATTTTTAACTTTAAAGTGGATATACCCCTCTAAAATCAAATCGAAGATTAGGAATTTTACCTCTGCTCTCTCTTAAGTCGCACGAATTGTTCTTCCGAACACACGCCAGTTTCACGTGGTCTTTCCTGCGCTATTAGCCTTTACATGAGCGCTCTTTCTGTTGTAACAAAAAAGAACACGAGCAACCGCGCGCGAAAGAATGTTAGCTTAACACGTTAATTGCCACTCACGCGATATCGCATGATGCGAGTTCTCTTCAAACGGCCGATCATGCGTTATCGCGTGGACGTCGCCACCAAGTTTCTAAGCGGAATAATATAGTGGCCACAGCGAAACTGCGCGTAATATTTATATTGGCCACTAGGGAAAGTATCGACTTTCGTGTGGTGGGGATGGCCGCCAGCCACTGTCTATTATATAATAATTAGTCCAACAAAATCAAATCTAGTAAGTTCCATATAAATGTTGATTCTTGATATTTATTATTTTTTGTATATGGACGTTATTTAAACAAATTCTATGTGATTATAAAAGAGTGATAGTTAAATATATAATTATTATATCAAATGTTTTTTATTTGTAAAATATATAACTTATTTTACCGAATTACTTGTGGGATGGAAATAGATCATAGAAATTAATTTGCTCACTTTTATTTCAAAAATTATAAAAAACAACTCGTACGCAACTAGCAGTATCGAGAGCCATAGCTAAAGAGAAATGTCATCTGTCACGCGTCACCTCCATCCTTCTCTCTCACACTTCATCGTTCAGAAGCAAATCGTTCACTCCGTTCTCAATCCTACATACATATCACGCGATATCGCGTTTCCGGCCATGTGGACAATAATTGCATTATGTGTGGCCAATCACGCCATATCGCGTGATAGATATTTAAAGTTCATAAATTCTATGTACATAAGGATAAACGTATATAAATAATATACTAACTTAAATTGAGCACAATAAAAACTAAAAAAGGCTTGGCCACCACACATAATTTCAATTTTTGGCCTGGCAATGAACGTGTTAAAAAATTCAAACAGATAATCGCGCACGATTGGGCGTGCAGACTTTCCCGCGCGCAATCCTGTATGATCACACGCGGAGTGACTGTGTAAAATCCGATTTGAAATTTAAAAAAGATGGCTTCATCTGATTCTTGCTGACCAAAGGGAAACCGTTGCCGACTTCGTGATGACGATGTTTCAGGACTCGGTAGGTATTCGATTAAATTTTCTATCTTTAAGTATACAGGTTGGTAATTTATGACCAACGCTGTGACAGCGTGTAGTTACCTACTATACACAAAAAGAAAAAAAATGGCCGACCTGCACAAACTTCGTGACTGTTCAAGCGTCGCTGTCAAGACTGGCGTGGAGACTGAAAACAAAGATAAATTTGATTTTTTTTCAAAGTTTTTTTAAATTGCTTTAACATAAACATATAGGTCCCATCTTTCAATTCATCTTATATTCAATAAACGTATCTTTCAAAAATATCAATACAAGTAGCTCTAATTGTGAGAGCGTCAGCATGGTATCAAGTATCTGGTTCGAATACAGCCGCATCGAAGGAATTTTCCTTAGTGTTCGATCTTTGTAATAATTCTCACATTTGACGTTCAATTGGTTAGAGCGGTAGCCACGGCGAGTCAACAGACGCTGGTTCCAATCAGATCAAAGAAATTGTCTTTGTGTTTGTTGCATCTTTGTATCAACAGTAATACCGGCTAGACGAAGCTGTGAAAAGTATGTATTGATGGATGCGAGATAATTAGACGGGTTAATAATTTGTATTTTGAATGTTCAACATTAGAAAGGCAGGGGGTCTATTATTTATTTGATTGCGTATAGACGAGAAGCTTTTGCTGGTAACATGTCTACATCACGTTGTTGTGTGTTGAAATTTATATGTTTGTTTTATAGGAAATGAAACTATTTTTCCGGATTTAAATCGCGTATATTTGTTTTTCCAAACAAACCAACGTTTCGGGGCCTTTACAGGTCCCATGGTCACGGTTGACTGAGGTGGTAGTTGTGAACCAGTTAGGTCTAATAATAATGCAAACCAACCTATTCTTTCACTATAGTTACAAAAGTTATTAATCAGATACCTTATTTTTAATTTTACAAAGAAACATTTCAATTTACGCTACATTATGTTTTACAAATTGTGTTATTTTAACAAAATTGTAATTTTTATTAAGTTAAATTTATTATTAACTAATAATGAAAATTAGAATAAATTGAAACATATTAATTGGTACTGCATTTGTTCTAGTTCACTTATTTAGCACTAATTCACTCTTTCGTTGCCAGTTGTCGAGCTTGTTTTTGAAGGCATTAACAGAGACAGCAGAAACAACATCTTCCGGCAGCATGTTCCAATTATGCAACACTCTGGTAGATCGAGGAGGTCTTTCTTCCAGGGTAGTGAGGCGTAATACGCGTAGTCTCTCCTCATAGGATTTGCGTCGAAGAGCCTGTGGCATTTTAGTTGCCTTCCTTCCATTACAAGAGGTCAACCAGAATAGTTTGGGGACCACTAGTTTATAGAATATACGAACGCGCACTCGTCGTTCCACTAAGTTAAATCAGTTGAACTAATTCACGGGTTCCCAAACTTTTAAGCTCAGCGCAAAATTTCAACGCCATCATCACAAAAAAGACCTGTTTTTTATATTAACATAACACAAAAAATCACAATGAAAAATTATATGTATAATATGTGTAATTTGTAGTATAGTTTACATAGGTTGTTTTTTTCAAAGGCCTACTGCAGTTCCTGGACAGCATCAATTGCTTCCGAGGCCTGGGGGGCGGGACCACGGGACCACTTTGGGAAACTATGAACTAATTGGACAAAAATATTCCAATTCAGAAATGTATTTTGTTTAAAATTGAACTTATTGGACGGAATTCAACTTTCAATTTTCTAATTATTTGATAACTATCGTCTTTTGTGTCTAACCTACCTAGAAGAGACACTAAAATTGAAAGATTCCTGCTCCCGTATACTGTAAATTCGTTCTACTAAAGATCAGATACGAAAGCAAGCGTACCGATGACTATACAGAGATGGGTAATTTTCAGGTAAGTTTTTTGTACTCAATTTTGACAATTTCTTTTTATTTAAATATTTATAGAATATCATCATTTAATATTCGAAAGTGGTACCCTGAAATATTCTTTAATATTTGACGATGACATATTCGATGTTTTTACAATAAGATTCCGAAGCATATATTAAGTTTATCATTTCCTAAGTTTAAAAACTACATTAAAAATATTTTGATCGAAAAATCATATTACAAAGTTGAAGACTACGTGTTAGATAAAGATGTATGGAAAGACGACATGGCTCCAGAATCCACACAAATTTGATTCAAAGTGTATTCCATAGCATTTAAGTTTATTTGAAAAGAGCAATCCCTAGAGTTTCTTGCTCGTTCTTCTCAGGGAGGTCAGCGTAGTGAACGAGCAGTACCTTAAATGTGACGATTTCAAGTGTAAATTTATTTTACCTATGGAATAAATAATCTTTGACTTTGACTTCGAGTAATTAAATAACAAAAATTGTCACCAAAATTGAGTACAAAAAACTTACCTGAAAATTACTGAGATTCAGAATACGAGCTCCAGATAGGTGGGCCATTATCTCTTACCCAGGGTATTACGAGTGTTTCGACTCACTGAACTTTAGTTGAACTTAGTAGAATAGCTCACGAGTGTCCCTTGAGTGTCGTGGCAATTGTTTTTTAACTTCAGTGAAATTGCATCTTTATTGTATTGACACAAGGTTGATTTATCAAAAAATATTAAATCTACATGTGTATTAAGGAAAATTCCTCTAATTAATACTTACATCCTGTTAAGGAAACTATTTGTTTTACAAAACCCAGTAGCAAAGACTTCTAAGAAAAAACAAAAAACGTGATCGACCTTATATTTACAACGTCTTCTTAAGTTAATCAAAAGCATACATTCACGACAATATATGAAAGAAAGAAAGAAAGAAAATACATTTATTTGTTTACCATAATGACACCACAAAAGACAAAAGAGAAAAGACAAAAGACAAAAAAAAAGATAAGACATATGCAGGTTGTATTTAATTTTATCCAAGTTGTACAGTCAAGAGCATATTAAGTTTGACACTTGGAACCTACAAACGTCCTTGTCGGAAAAGATAAAGAGTTGAATTTATCTTAAGTGTCCACTTGACCCTATACGAACAATTCAAATGACCGTGCTTTTAGAAAAAAGAAATCAACAAAAAAAGAACTTATAATAAATACGTACAGAGACACAAAAAGATCACCACATCCGGGTACATTGTAAATGATTTGCAAATCCAATTCTCTTCTCAGTCTTATTTAGATTCACTAAAAAGCACACATATCACAAAAACAAAAGACTATCAGACGACATTCAAAACAAAAAAACAAAAACTTTTGTATTTAAAAAAAATACAACAAGGCGTGATTTTATATATGCCAGCAATGAAATTGAAATTGTAAATTTTAATAAACTAGAAAATTAACACGGAGAAGACCGCATGTAGTTAGATACGGTCAGTTACTGAAATGTTGCAAGTTATTTAGTTGTTTTTTCCTTAAACTGGGAGACGTGGTAGCCGGTTTTGACTTACGCGGGTGATGACCTGATATAGGCAGTATCTCAATTTACTTTGGTATATATTAAAACCCATAGTTTACTATTCTTTTTAGGGAGTTGGTAAAAGTTTACATCCTTGTAATAAAAGCGAAGAAGACGTCGTCTCGCTTCTCGCCAAACTACGAAAGCAGTTAGATGGCGAGGTTACACACACAATCACAAAACTATATAGTATACCTAGTATAAGTACATTTATCAAAGGCAGTGTAAACTTTAAGCATTTTTATCTAAATTTACATGCTTTCAAGAAGTAATCATTTTTTTTTAAAGTTAATTTACGTACATTTTTTTATACAAACGTAAGTGAGCATTTGACCTTCATCTCATCTGATGGAAAGTGACGATGAGGTCGATGATGGAGCATACACATCTAAATAATACCTATTTACTCTCGCCTTGAAAAGGCCCAATTTATAATGTTCAGAGAACAAGTCTGCGGAGAGGGAATTCCATTCCATAGCCGTTCGCCATATAAATGCAGAAGCGTAACGATTCGCGCGAATCTTTGGAATTTCCACAACATAGGGATGAAATCCAAGCCTTCATCTAGTCCCCAGGTGATGGGAAGGGGAAGGCGGAATTAAATCATGTAATTCCATTGCACGCTCACTAACTATAGGTTTACATGTCCAACAATGAAACACCAAAATTTCAAACATTCGTAGTTCTATAGATTTTAAGACTTTCGTGGTTTTTCACTAAATGATTATCACTAATTTCAGGTTTCTTACCACGGTATGACTTCTTTTTATTTTCCCAATATTTCGGAACGGTTACGGGAACCAAAACACCTACATTCGGTCGTCAGGTCATTAACCAATAGAGCTTATGATCTTTGTGATGCACACCACCTACCACAGGAACAGGAGCACGTTAAGACGGTTTTGCGACAGAATGGATACGAAATAAAAACATTTAAACCAATACACAAAAGGAAGAAGCAAATTGACGTACAGAGACTACCAGTTTTTCTGCCCTATGTACAAGGGGTGACAGACAAAATAGCCAGGTTGCTAAGGAAGTTTTCCATAAAAACGGTTTTCAAAATAGGAAAACTGTTACGTTCACCAAAAGACCACCTTCCTTTAGAAACACCGGGTGTCTATAAAGTGAACTGCAGTTGTGGGAGCTCGTATATCGGTCAGGCTAAACGAACAATTATCGATCGTATGAAGGAACACATTCGAGCAGTAAAAAACAATGATGCACAGAAGTCGGCTATAGCACAACATCTCACACAGACTGACATTAACCACTGGATCGAGTTGCATAGCCCCCAGGTACTCTCGACAGAACGTCACTACATACCACGGTTGGTACGAGAAGCCATCGAGATCACGAAGTACAAAACATTTTTGCCGTGATGATGGTTTTAAACTATCCAGTGCATGGAATCCGGTCATTAGTGCGTGCAGTAATAAAAACAAAAACACATCGAGTTCAATTTCGCGTGTGGATACAGTGAGTGTGGTTTGTGTGAAAAAATTGTGTGACAATGGTAACGCCACAACAAATCGCGATGAAGGTAGTCGTCAACAATTCAAGAGGGTAGACAGATATGTCTGCTCTTAAAGCTGTCATCTGCCGCCGTCCAGTCAAACCCTGCCCATGGAGCGTACAACTGTTCCGAATTATCGGGAAAATAAAAAGAAGTCATACCGTTGTAAGAAACCTGATATTAGTGATAATCATTCATAGTTCTGTACTTTTAAAGTCAAGGGTTATTTTTTTTAACACAGATAGCCAATTTAACTTTAAAAAAAAAAACAGTTTATAGATAATCTTTAATAAGGTTTATTTTTTTAAATGGGAAATGTTTCATTGTGTCCACAGGTATGTATACAATAAAACACCTTACATTCAACAGTGAAACAGTGTAATTATTTCGTTATTTTTGTAATTATGGGAATAAATAAATAATAAAACCTATTTTTAACCGACTTCAAAAAAGGAGGAGGTTCTCAATTCGAATGTATGTTCTTTTTTTTTCTTTTTTTGTATGTATTAACCGATTTTCATGATTATTTTTTTGTTGGAAAGGGGTTACTTCCATTTTGTCTCATTTTGTTTTGAAGAAAATCATCCACCTCGAAGGGTGGCTGTTCATGCATGAAGATTCATTTTTATAAATAGCGCCTTACTGTAATTTAGGAGCAATTACTTTAATGGTTGATTTTGCTATTTCTTTAATGCAAGGCGTTTTTCTCCCCATATACTTTGAGTAGTGAGAACCGATTTTTATTATCTCCAGTGTCAAGTCCTGTAAAGTGGCGAACTAGGGGATATTTCAATTAAGCTTAGCAAATAGACGTAATTCCACGTACTTTTGAGGTCGGTTTTTTTAGTACTCTGTACTGAGATTATTTTATGAAAATATAAAAATGCTTTAATCTACGTAATCTTTTCGAACAGATTGCTAGGTACTATTAAGAGTACTTAATCACAAGAGATAGTACACAATGAAACATTGTGTCCATGCCACTGTTTCATTGTAGACTACCTAGGTTACGTCACAATAAACTCAAAAAATATACAACAAAATTTAAATATTTTCATTTATGAACTAGTTCCCGTAAATCTATGAAACATGTACAATACTAAGCAATGTTTAGCAATACGGGATTTCCAAGTATAATTAAATAAGCACACGACGAAAATTGCAAAAAATAATTACTTTTTGGCCTATAAATCAAAAACGGCTGAAAAAGCGTCTGGTTCTTTGTGACGGAGTCCCTGAACTGAACTAGAGGGGGGTTAAGCGAGTGCATCCTTGCACGCAATTCTACACTATTTGGTTACGTCGCATTTTCAAATTATCGCGGTGTTTCACACACAATAACTTTTTCATTTGTTTGTTTGTAAAGTTTCAATTATATTAACAGTTCAGAATTTGTTACATCTTTGTAAATTGGAAACTACGACCTACGACCGACTACGAATCATTATTAAGATTTCATAATAATAATAATAAATAGATATAATAGAGAGGGAGCGCAGGTAGCTAGCTGTTCGTTGTAATATGTTCGTTGGCAGATTTGCACGTTGAACTAAACAAGTAAAAATTACACTATTTAAAGCTTACTGTCAAGTGCCGAGGCCTTACCATGAACTCTTATTACGATTCAGTTTAGGTTGTGAGACAGCGCTACATGAAGTGTATTTCGCCATCCCGCTTTTTTGTCTTTACGAACCTATACTGAACTGTAATAAGAGTTCATTGTAAGGCCCCTGTACACGTGCAGTCTGTGGGTCGCGTATTCGAGGCGGACGTTCAGCGACCTGCGTGTTCAATATAATAACGCATTCAGGGTGCTGATGGGGCCTACCGTGGAGGTGTAATGCTTCGGGGATGTTTGTCGAGGCTCAGATGGATGGCTTCATGGCTATCATGGGAAAAAGGTGTGCATCTGCCCTAAAGCGCCTCCGCGGGGGCTCCAGCAGCATCGTGTATGAGTTCACAGTCCGGTAGGACTCGCCACTTCTGCATAAATGGATTGAGCGCCACACGTCATATAGTGTATTGTCCTTTTAAATTATATAAAATTAATTAATACTGACACTACAGTGGCAGTCCGGCGTGGTAACCGTTCGGCCACGGAGGCAGTAGTGGTGTCATAGAGTTCATAATTTGTTTATGTGCGTTTAGGCGACTGCGGTTCTTTTTTTCTGTGGTATTTATACGAGTACCCATAAGATAGTGTAATATTACTTATATTATTTTATATTATTTAACTGCCTCCGTGGCCGAACGGTTACCATGCTGGACTGCCACGCAAAGGTCTCGGGTTCGATTCCCGGGCCGGGAGAAATATTTGTATGGCCTACATTTATTTCTCCCGTGAGATGGGGTGGAATTTGTGGTTGACTATATGCGTCCATGGCACCCGCGATACAGGGTTTCCCTAGTGCGGGGCTATGAATGTGTACGCGTTATTATTATTATATTATTGTTACAGGTAGATAAATAAAAAAAGTAAGCAAGTTTATAAATAGAAAATTTCCTCGAGGACCGTACCCAGGGGCATCGTGCCCAGAAGGCTGGCAGTATTTCCCCTGTGAATTGCTAAACTTATTCTTTGGCGGAAATAACTGCCAGTGTTGTGGTCCCCAGAGGCGATCCGACAGCTCGTTCGCTAGAAATTTCGCCTGTGATCCCCAGGCACCCAGAGTTTCAATCGCAAAAGGCACAAAGCTGTAGCACTGAGCAAGATTGGCGTATTTTAGCCTTTTGCGATTCTGAGCCTGCGCGGCCCACGCTTACAAGGACGTGTGAGGGGCTACAATGTCCACACAGGTTGCATCCCACACTAACTGTCTCCCTAGCTTCTATGAACCGACAGTCATACCGTCAGGCCTCATACCGTCAAAAGTAAGTAAGTGCCTATAATATTTAGGACAAAGTGAAACACAATTTTTGAGGCCATCCTTGATGCCTATATGGTATAAATAATTATTCAACATTAATTTATTTTACAGAAGATATAAATTATGGAAGTAATTATAGGCTATTATTTAAATTGCGGAAAATAACAGCTTAAATGACATCAAGTGAACAACACAACACATGTTATAATTATTAATAGGTACAAAGATCGAACGGTAAGAAAAATTCCTTCGATCAGGCTGGATTCGAACCAGCGCCTTCAGCATATCGTGGCTGACGCTCTCCCGACTGAGCTATGGAACCAAACAGTAAATCTTACGAGTTTTTCTATTTGCTTGTTGCAGATCTGTGTTTTTGGTTTTTGAACGTGCATGAGTGCGCGTGCGCACGAAGCGTGCGTGTTTATTTCTCATTTTGTTTTTATATTTACTTCATTTTTAAAAATTGCCTTAGATTTACAATTTGTATCCAATGGAAAAAAAGAATGTTTTTTGTTTACTTTAAAAACATGCTCTTTGTGGAACATTTTTTTGTTTTTCGGACGAAAATTCGTTCTTTGTTCACTTAATAAAATATGTTTTTTTTAAATATGCTCTTTCAGGAATGTTTTGTTTACCTAACATAAATGTAGGTACATTTTTTGTTAACCTAACAATAATGTGTTCTTCAAGGAGCGTCTTTAGTTTACTCAATAAAAACGCATATGTATAGACGACTTTTTTATTTTAAGGTACCAGTACACATTGAACATCACATTTTTTAAACTTTTAGCACATATTCGTCTAAAATTAAGTTTTTATATTAATTCACTGACAATAACGCTAGCTTCCCACGGCCTGTGGTATCACAGGCCATAGGAAGCCTTAAGTATTGAGCTCCACTTGCTAACACGGTCAACGCTGCCCCTTTACTATACTCATGTTTTATACGGAATAGCATCAGCACGCTTCAGCATCAAGGATTGCTAGTGATACATTGCCGTGTTGTGACAATACACTTTACCTCGAAAGTAAGCGTTCTTCGCATCTGCTTACAAGATATGGCAGTTAGTTTTCATATTGATTATTACTACCATGATATTAATTTATTTTTTATGAAATTACTCCACGATATATTTATTAACACAAACATCGAAACACAAAGAAAAATTCGTTCCGTCCGTAGGCGACCGCTGTCCTAATTTACGTATACCCTGAAGTAATTTTTCTTTATTTTCGATCTTTGTATTATTAAGAGGGAGCAGAGGAAATATTCCTAATCTTCGATTTGATTTTAGAGGGGTATATCCACTTTAAATTTAAAAATAAAATATTGTATGAGTAACTACACGATATATTCAAGCATAGACACTAATCAGAAACATAAAACAATAAAGTTTCCTCGATAGATAAAAATCACGAAATGCCCTCTAATTTTCACATTTTAGCGATTCATCCTCGAAATGCTACAGGTTATTAGGACAAAAATTAGATTATTTATGCATGATCGAGAACTCTCACTACGGATTTTTTTTAATCCCTTTAGTTTTAGAGTTATTCCACTAAAACGAATTTGGTGCTTTTAATGCGCAAAATTCAACATCTCCTGTCGCATACCCCAAAAGGGCCGAGTTATACGGAATTACCAGGTTTAAGTGGTATTAAAATTGGTACATGTTATAAGTGGTAAAAGGTATCAATATTCGCGATTAAAGAGTAGACACTTTCTGGCTGCCCATGAAGGTATGCAAGGCACCATTCACCTGATTCCCTGCGTTCACTCTTCTTTCAAGGTCTCTTTCACATTTTCCAACACACGTAAACGTAGAACCCAAATACACAAACTCTTTCACTTGGTCCACTTTCTCTCCTTCAATCAATATCGTGCAAATCGTCACATCTTCCTCCCTTTCAAAAACCATTACTTTCGTCTTGCCCACATTAATTTTCCTTCCTTGCCTTTTAAGAGCACCATGCATAACATTTACCATCTCCTACAACTCCTCCACTAACGACGCTAATACCACCTGGTCATCGGCGTATAGGAGGCACGTAATGAGTAAACCATACGTTCAGTTTAGACATTTACTCAAAAAAATTTTTAGTACATTCATACTAAAATCTATTTTTCTTATGTGACATAGAGATAGACCACAGTAGCAGTAGAGCTTCTTGTGAAAGAGTGCGTCCAGGGAAGTACTGCCACCTTACCTATTTCTGCCGCCAAGCGCTGTGAGCATTACTGCGTTGCGGTTTTGAAGGGTAAGGCTCAATTTGTATTGCGGCGAAATGGAATGGAAGTCGAGTATATAACCAGAAATAGAGACGAAATAAGGGTCATATATTCCTGGTAACTCGTCAGTGATACATCACTTATAAACATCAACTCTCGTTTGCACTGAAATATAGACTGCGCCAACAACTGACCTGCGTATACGTCTCCGTATATACCAAAAATATTCTGTATTATATATTGTAATAAAGATAATATATCTAATAATGGCGTGCTGTTCCATTCGGTGGTTGTGTGGAAAATCAGCAAAACGTCTAATTACAAAACAAACGGTATCAAATTTCATCGGTAATTAAATATGATACGATTTTTCACACCCACTGACGACACCCGTCTGTTTCGAACTCGGGCTGGCCAATCGGAGCGCAGTTGGATACGGCAGAATAGTTTTCAAACAAATTAAATGACATTTCGTCTTTATTTCTGGTTTATACTCGATGACATAGCATAATGAGCTTTATGATCAATCGTGTAACTTACAAACTAGATAAGAGCCTTAATCTTCCACGGAATTCTCGCGCATGCTCGAGAAAACAATATCGTTACAAAAATTTTATTTATTTATTTATTTATTTATTTAATAAGGCTTACCAACTAAATACATACAGGTACGTTACAAAAGAAACCATTATATATATAAAAATACTATGCATGCATTTAAATTAAAGGTATGCACAACATTATACATAAAGGTATTATTTTATCGGCACTAAAGTTTGACAAGATTGAAGAACAATACTACACTGATTATTAAATTGAAATAAATTTGAATGAATTTAAAGCCCCAAAGAGCTTGAATTATTACAAATATTGATGACAGTGATAATTGGGCAACATAAAACAACGAGGTACAGCTAATTTACTCAACCATTAAAATAATACTTTTGGACAGCAGACCTAAAGCCATGAAATTTATCTCCAAAAATATCCAGTTCACAATTTTGAAATACTTCATTGTAACAAAAATTCGCTTCAAATTCGCTTCCATTCCATTCCCGCCGCAATATAAATTGGCTAAGGACGCGGGTGAAATTACAGGCACATGGGACTTTCAAGTCTCAGACTGACAGGCGCAGTGGCAGTGCCCCTCAGATCTTTGTGATTTAAAGCTCTGAGTGGCACTGCAACTGTTATGGACAGGCGTGTCGCTTACCACCAGGTGCACGACTTGTTCGTCCCGTCACTTGGTGTCATGAAAATGGAATATAGAAAAGTCCAACTATCGATTTATTCGATGTAACAATCGCCCACCGCTAATGAAAATTAGTAACGGCGCGACTGCAGCGCCTATAATAGGCTTGCGCGACGCTCCCTTCTGGTATCTTTCACAATAGTAGTAGAGCCTTTATTATACAAAGTTTGTTCATATTCCATTGAAATATACATTTTTTTACCGTTATAGGTTAAAACACACTTATAGTAGTAACTTACACTATTATAAAAGTGAATTTTATAAAAAAAAATCCTTTAGGCTCATTTTCCATTGTCGCGGAATGGAATGCACTTTGCGTAACGAAATTATAACAATATAACAATTACTTTATTTATTTATTTATACTCAGGTTACATTGACCCATAAATACGCCTTTTAGACATTACATAATATTATAATAAAACGCTAATTATTTATTTACACGTACGGACTCCTGTGTGACGCAACGTGGGTGTCCGGTAACCGGCCTCGAAAATGAAGGTCGACAGATGTTGAGTTGGTACTGTCACCACAAATGAATTAATATACTCAGACAACCACATCACTTCCTTTGAATCAAACTATAGAATTCCCTGTACAAAGATTACCAAAACAACGGAATTCTAGGGCACTTCCCAGAACGCCAGAACCAATTTGGGAAAATTCATTTCCCAATTTGATCCTACCGGGAATCGAAGGACCTCCTCATGCAGAGCCCAGAGTATATGCCTTTGGGCCGCCGAGGTCATCAAATTGTACATAGCATAATAAACTTACATAATAATGTACAAATTAGATGCGCTTACGGTAGCTGTAGGAATTCCCGAGACTGCGCGAGAATATTGCGGGAGATGCGCGAGTTCTTTTTTTATTCGTATCTAGTTTGCACGATTTATTACGAAAAGTCACTTCCATTCCCTTCCGCAGTAATATATGTAAATTGAGCCTAAGTGTTGCCCCTTCATTTTACAACGGGATCCATGTGCATAAAAATGTGGTTTAACCCTAATAAAAAAGCAGTAAAATAGTAGAAAATCTTAAGAAGTATACGCCTACCGTCCTTTACAACATCAGTAGCCGTAACTTACAATTTTTTCGAAAAATAAAGTTATATCACTAGCTAGTCCTGCGTGGTTGGTATTTTATAAATTAGCTTGTATATATGTCTCGGTAGATAAAGGGATTGCCGTACTCGTCTAACGCAAGGCCTCACTGGCCAGCTATTCCTTACTTCCCGGCCCCTGTAGATAATTATGTACAATTTTTTTTCATTAAGTTACGTCGACGTATTGTAAAGGAGATGGAGACTTGTACGAAAGGTATACGATGAAATTGCTAATTATTTACACAGATACAATAAATGCTTTTTTTTAAATATTATTTTTACAAGTAAATGAGCAATCAATTGAGCTAATTATCATTAAAAAAAATATTCGCACCCTTAGTGTAAAATGTCACATATGCAAAATGACATCTTTTAAGGAAAGAAATTACGAATTAAATTAGTCGATAACTTTCATATGATGTTACATGCGGTTTTATACCAAGGGTAGGAATTAGCCTTAGGGTATTCGACACGAATTTCAACTTTTTTTTTTAATTTTACGCTCTATTTATTTAACTTTTACGTTTTAACTTAAATGAGCATCCCGGGCGCTCGGGCGAGTCTGGCTTGTATTTGGTCTACGCGGCGACCGCGCAGTTGTATTATTGCGAGGAATTTTTATAGCCTAGTAAATAGAAGTCAGATTCGCCATTAATGTACGTGAAAGCGTGGTAAGGGTGGTGAGCGTCCTCGCGAAAAGTTTCGCGTCGTATAACTGGGCGCTTAGACGTAACATAATATTACTTTAGTTCTATTATGAGAACGCTTCTCAGACGTGGCATTGCTACGCCTAATTAAAGGGTGTCCCAAAATTCATACAAAAAGTAATTTTGACAGAAAACACAGGTTTATAATTAAAAATTGTATTTTTTTTTATTGATCCATGGAGTACATGGTATATGTGTGGTAAAGCATATCGGTTAAATGGTCTCCACGACTTCCCTGGCACATACGCACTTTTTTCATGAAATTTTCGATGACCATTTTGCATAATTGTAGTTGAATCTCGTTGATACAGCGCCCAATTTCCTCATTCAAGGCGTGGTCATGGGCTTGTTAACATTTCAAAAAACATTAAAATTACTTCTTGCGTGAATTTTGCGACACCTTATATTTATATTAAATGAAAATAGGACAAAATAATGGTACGTCACTTAAATAATCTTAATTAGCTGACACCCTTTTCATGTAAAACCAGGGACTTTACGGGGACCCTTTGAGATCTATTATTCATATACTGAATAAGCTCTTAAAAGGACGTCAGTTAACAAGTTTGGATCTTATAACAATTACTGACCCGTTACGAGAGACTCTTCCTCTGACAACGTCATTTGTAGTATAATGAGATGAGAGAACACAATACTAGAATAATCACGCTCACTTGGCATCATTTAGGCACTTAATAATATCTCAAAATGCCAAGATCTCACAATTCACATTTCTAAAAATGCCAAGATTTCAAAGTTCATATTTCTCAAAATGCCTAGATCTCAAAGTTCAAATTTCGCAAAACGCCGAGAACTCAAAATTCACATTTCTTAAAATACCAAAATCTCAAAACATTGTTTTTGAAATGCCAAGATCTCAAATTACACATTTCTTAAAATGCCAACTCAATATAATTAAATAAAAACCGAAGTTAGTTAAAAATCTTGTCTAATATTTCATTATTTAGTAAATACGTACTTTCTTAACTACTGAGTTAGAGAACTTTTTTAAAAGCAGTTTAAATTGTTGGCATTAAAAAAGAAATTGGCCGCAATATTGTAAACACGAGATCACTTTTTGGATACTAGAACTTGCCCTCAAAGAAATCGCACCTTCAATAACAAAATGACCTAATTCAAAATAGTACATTTTTAGAAAGTTGACAAAATATTTTTTTTTTAAATACGTGTGAAAACTATTTAGCAATTGTTATACGGCTGACGCACATACGGTAGTTTGTTTACATTGTGACCATGGGTTCTGGCAGTGAGCCCGAAACGTAAGTCTGTTTGAAAAAATAAATATAAGCGTGTTAGATGCGAAAAAAATTGCTTCATTTCTAACTAAAGTACCGGCACGCTATGACGGCCGTTTTGACGTTTGTCAGCTCGTCAAGTTTCGCATTAATTCATAACTACTTTCAAGGCCCTAATTGCAGTACATTGTTGTCAAAAGTGACGTGCAGTAAAATTTATGGGAATGTATAATTTTACGACACAACTCGGCATTTGTTTTCCGAAATTTTCAAAATGAAATCTGATACGATCGTCACTTATAGGATCGCTGACCAGCACAACTTCTACCTCCGGCAAACTCGCGTCCAAGCTCAATGCAAAACAAAGCAGTTTCGAATTGACGTTGCTTCGAAAAGAACAAACTGTGATTGTGATAATATATCATTTTGACCTGATTTTGAATACTAGTTAGTATTGCAGTAATGCAGTATCAATATCTTTGTTTCAAACAACACTCCCTGCTAAGTGCATATCCTCAAAGACCAATCCAAAGTCGGTAGATAGTATTAAAGTTCTTTTACACTCGCTATGTTTTTGTCTATTTTGATTATAGGAAAATAACTTAGTCCCCGTTCAAATTCGCTTGTAAAATTGTTCATGTGGGTTCTCACAGGCCGAGTAGGATAGTCGATGTCAGGTATCGAAGCAACGGGGCATGTATCTGTAATTAAACGCATACAGGGCTGTTTTTAAAATTCTAACGACGTTCCGCGACTATATTATTAACATCATAAACAACAAATTTTGTTGGATGACTTTTTACAAAACATAATATCGCACTCTTAATACAATAGTGTATTAACTCAAAAAGAGGACTTTCTCAAAATTGATGAAAAACGAATTAGTCGCTTCCCGCAAAAAAATAATTAAAATTTATATGTTACAGTTAATTATAGAAAAATAAATAATTTCTCAAATATAGTAAACAATAAAATGGAAAAAATAATTTCATGTTTTTGAATAAGGATTATTTTGGCTAGAAGTAGCTCACATAAAGTGAGTCTCGTTTCGAGTTAAGTAGATATCTTTTGATTGTTTCTTACAATATTCTAACGACTTTTTTTTTACTTGATGAGAATAAAATTTTGCGTTCAGTAATGATATAATATTAAATTTCACATATTTTGAAATACAACACTATTGTAATAGCAGTGCGATATATTTGAATTTGTTTTGAGTTGACATTCAATTATTTTTTTTGTCAAATCACTCCACTAGTTTGTTATAATTATTAATACAAAGATTCGAACCTATGTCTCCTATAAACCGTGCCAGACGCTATGCCAACTAAGCCACGGAGCGAACCAGCGCATCTCACGAATTTTACTATGTGCTTGTTGTTGGATCTTTGTATTTGGCTTTCAACGACTTTGTAGCCGTAGCGCCATCTATGAATTGAATCGTCTGGCACGGTTTGCTAAGAGATATCGGTTCGAATCCGGCCGGATCGAAGGAATTTTTTCCAATGCAACGGAACAAGATACGTCAATATGTAGCTTGATGTGCTGGCGTGTGTACTATCTGACTTATATAAGACTCGAACTCTAATTAAAAATATTCATTATTCGCTCTTATAATGCTATGTTATATAAAAAATAATATTATAGGGGCCTTACCATGAACTCCTATTACGATTCAGTTTAGGACTTAAAATAAATCGTTGTGAGACAGCGCTACATGAAGTGTATATCACCATCCCGCTTTTTTGTCGTTACGAACCTATACTGAAATGTAATAAGAGTTCATGGTAAGGCCCCAGGACAAGATCAAGAAATAACTATGTATTTAAAAAATATGATGTGTCCAATTGAGCGTAACACCAATTACCTCAATGTGCGAGTTCATATTTACCCCATGTAACCTCATTGGTTCCAACTAATCCCATACGATCTCAAATGTACAAGTTCTCATTCACCCCATGTAACCTCAATAGATCCGATTGACACCCATATGACTTCAACATAGAAGTTCACATTCACCCCATGTAACCTAAATAGTTCCGATTGACCCCAATTCGACCTCAATAGACTTACCTGACACTCAAATCGTGAATCCTGAAGACAACGTAATGTCCATTGGAGAATACTCTGTAAAAATGTTCAGTGTTCTCTGTGATCAATTTGTGGCACAATTTCGGGTTGGAGGCTAGCGATGGTTTCTCTATGTCCCATATCATTGCCAACGTGCAACGATTTCTGTGGAAGGTGAAGAGAAATTGGGTTAGGTTCATTATTGACAACCTCTCAAGTTGAGCAGATTGATTACACGTGAGAGGAAATGATAAAAACCTCATGTTATACTGTATCTAGTTCTGTAGGCAAGCTGTAATGTGAGCATTACTACGTTCCGGTTTTAAATGGTACGGATGGATGCCGATTAAACTAGGCACAATGTGTTTATTTTCATCACGCTTGCTCGTAAATAGTGTGATTGTTTGGTGGCTAACTTGATTATAATGCCCCAAATAAAACCCTCGGGCCTTTTTTCTTCCCATTACAGCCATAGTCGTTAAGGAGTTTTTCTTTTAATTTGTAGCATGACATACTTCTTTACATAGGTCAGGTTCAAGTTCAAACAAGAAGGTTACTTAACTTTAAAATTAAAACATTCGCTTAAAATGTTATGTAAACAGAAATTTAAATGCAATTCAGCCAAATACTACTTACTTAAATACTTATTATTAAGAATTTCCTATCATTGAGTTCAATTGTTTTCTGTATAAATATCTTTTTACTTGTCTTGTACTATTGTATTTTTCACGGACGGTAAAAAAATACAAAACTAGAATTATAAAAGTCCTCGTTAGTCATTTCTTATTTACCGTCTAATATACAATGTATGCGTGTACACTTTACACTAACAGTGCTTATAAATGCGTGCAAAGGCGCATTAAAGCGGATAAAAGCGCATGAATGCACGTGAGAGACTTACTTAAACGGATCGTAGCACAGATTATACTCGATTATAAGGTACGTGGCCTTAAGTTTTGTCAGTTCCTGATATAATTCTTTGGAAGTAAATCTGCCGTATGCTTTGTAAACTGCGTAGGCGCGGTCTCTGAAATAAAAAAAAACAATTCATAGTCGAATTTTCTTTTAGTCACGGTGAGAATTAGCAAAAAAATCTATTAGTCATCCATTAAAAATACTCAAGTTAAAGGACTGCCTGTGAATTATAACTACACGTGCAAGCAAACACGTGCACGATCAGTTAAGAGACATGTACAAAAGCCTAAAAAAATACGCTAAAATGAATTACCACCAAGAAACTTTAATGTTCAATACGGAATTACTGGCATCAGACTGGGATATCGCACACGACATAAAAAATGTCGTAACTCGAAATTTTAGTAAATAAAAAAAAGAATGAAATCCCTATATTTTATGCACAAAAATTGTTGTTTATGATATTAGTAATATAGTTCTGCGAGGTTGTTAGTATTTTACAAATAACCCTGTAAATAGTCGCCTTTCACATTTAATTTCTCTGTCATTGTCACTTCTCATTTCTCTGTCACTGTCACTTCTCATTTCTCTGTCACTGTCACTTCTCATTTCTCTGTCACTGTCACTTCTCATTTCTCTGTCACTGTCACTTCTCATTTCTCTGTCAATCCTCATTTCTCTATCACTACCATTGACTTACAAATAAATGGACGACGGGTCTAATACAAAAACCAGGAAAAAATGTCCCAAGTCAACCTATTTAAATGTAGTGACATGTAAAGAAATATGAAAAAGTTAAAACGTTGAATTTAAATTGTAATGTCATCGCAGTACTGTCTAATTTTGCTAGCTTCGCTGTCAGTCGGACAAACGAAGACTAAAGCGTGAATGACGCTCTGTATACGATTTTAACGCCCTATAAGTTCGGATACTTTTTAGCGCAGACCCGACGTCCATATAATTGTAAGTCAATGATCACTACTCATTTCTCTGACCCTTCTCATTTCTCCGTCACTGTTACTTCTAATTTCTCTGTCACACCGCACATGAAACCAAACTTGGTCGTAACTCAAAATTGTGGAATTGAGAAAACACAATTTTCTATTCAAAAAGAATTCTGAATGGATCTTACTGCGAATAATGTGATTATTTTTGTATATCTAATTTACCTGGCGTCCTTATGCTCATAATGTGGGTGCGCCACAATAGGCCGTCGAGTAGACAACATTACAGAGGCTGATATTGGCAGTGAGCCGGCAAACGCTGCATTCGGACTTGTTTCATCTTGTATCCATTGGAGGAGTTGTTCTTGGGGTATATTTGTGAATACGCCTATAAAAATAAATTCATATTCACAGATACTTACAATTTTGACCACAATAAGCTTTTAACAACACAATGTAAAACGTAACATATGTTTTTTTTTATAACGATTTAAAATACTCGATAGAGTTAAAGTGATGCTAGATGTGTCACTTACCAATTTTGGAGAATTCGTCTGTCAAGTTAATGCAGAGTTTGTGTATTATTATTAAAATGGCTATAATCCAAAATCCCCATCGGGATAGTCTTGAAGTCTTATGCCTTCTGGAAATATAAATGGTATAGGATCATTTTTTATACATTTCAACATATTTTTGACGATGCCTCTTTTGAGAAATGATTGTGATAATAGGCACTGACTTTTTTTTATAATATGTTGAATATTTTTGAATTCTTAATGCGATTATTCTAATATGTCATAATATTTTTGGGTGAAAATAGCCTCTAATATAATCCGTTGATAACATTACAAACGGAATTAGTAAACTCTTGATCTTTGTAATTTCACACGAACGTCGAAAATATCACTACACTTAAACTAAAGGATGAAAAGTCTTATAATTAATTTAATTTTGCAATCTCAACTTATTTTTTTAGTAGATACAATAAAAAATCAAATGTACCGTATTTAATGCTGATATCTCAGCAGTCTGCGGTGTAGGTACCTGAAATGGACCTGTAACTTTGGTTTCATTGAAAAAAAAAAACATACGCGATTTAAATCCTAAAACAATAGTTTCATTTTCAATGATATGCATTAAAAATTCAAAAATATTGAACGGATTATAAAAAAAATACCCAGCGTCTATTGTCACTAAACCTAATGTGTTTTTTCATAATTACACAGAACCTGTTCAGATAATCGCTGACATATTACTGGAGATTTAAGTATGATGTTCAGATGCAAGTTTTGCAAATTTAAAGGGGATATATTTCTGAAAAAATAATTGTGACACTTACGGTCCGTACCGCGTCCCAAGCATCAGCGAAGAGACAATGCACATTTGCGTCGAAAACAACAATTTCAACCTCATAACAAGCGCTGCCATCAATCCAAACACAACCATTTGAGATATATTATAAAATATCGCCGCATCGACGTACACATTCTTCAAATAGAACAACCAATGGTCGTCAATCAAATTATCTTTTTCTTGCACTGTCACATCCAGACTATTTAGATCTACGTTCTTTTTCGAATCAGTTTTGTTCTCTATTCCGCTGTCGTCGCAGTTTTCATCGGTTTTCGGTTTTTTCAAAATTACCGGTTTTTCTACTCTCTCGTAAAATTTTTGCGCTCTTAGATAACCGCTTCTAATCCAATCACCAGATACATTGACCATTGATAATATTACAAACGGAATTAGTAAACTTTCGAACATTTTAACGAGAGAATTTAGTGGCAGAACGTTGAAAACATCACTACAAGTGTAAATTAAAGTATGAAAACTTTTATAATTTGTCAATTTGGAATATAACAACTCCCATACGTGAGTGTCTTCTTCGACTTCTAAGAAATTACTAATTACTTTCTTTAAATATATCGACGAGCATATGGCTATAGCTATACGTAATACGACTAGCCAAGATTCTATAGCCAAGTCAAAACGATTTCTTATTTTAATTCTCAATGAACTAAAGAATAGGCAGTATGCGGACACCACAAGGAAGAATGAAGTGTATAGACTAGATTTTAACATATCATTGCCCTGTAATAATAACACGGCCATATGTATACCACCGAAATGCGAATGTAGAAAGAGGCATAGAGTTTTCAAGTCTATAATTTTCAATTGCTCCATGACAAAGAAAATGGCGGTTTGTGTTAGGAATATAAATTGGGAGAACTGCCAAAACAGAAGGCATAGGCAGTTTAGAATGAATATTGAGACCTGGAATGAAATAAAGAAAATTGAAATTGCATATCAACCTCTGCATAATAAAAATTAATTGTTTAAGCACTTGAGGAAGAAGTCACTTATAGTGCATATTTTTGCATTCGCGTGTGCGGGAGTTCGTGCGCACGTATGTGAGCTCGTGCGTGCGTACGTGAGACTCTACAGAGAATATGTCAATCGAAAATTGGTATTTTTTTTACTTTGATAAAAAAAAATGTTATCTATCATCGGTTGTGAAATATGTGGTATAAAGTATAATTATATAAATTCTAAAAATATATAACTTATCTTACTCGTTTCCCACACAAAATATTTTATAACAATTTGATTTTTATTATATGAGGGTAAGCATACATTTTTGCGTACTACATATTGTTACAATATACTAGAATTTTTATATGCATAATATAGTATGTATACACCGTAAATTTCTGAAAATATGCGTACGTTAGTGGCTCTGGCTGTGCGTTTGTGTATGTGTATGCTTGTGCGTTTGGGTGTACGTGTGCGTATGTTTGTACGTTCGTGTGTGTAGTATTCTAACCTGTAGTTGGAAGGAGGTTTTCTTCTCATCCCTAAGCTGCAATGTGAGGCACCAAGTCTGAAGGAAGAACAAAGGTGCTGCCATGTTTTCTCTCTCATTTGGAGTCCATTGTACTCGCGTACATTCGTCATGGTTCGCAAAGTATTGTGCAGCTGCCAGGAGACCACCGAGGATACTTCCGCTGGAATAAAGTACAGATAAAAGAATTATCAACAATAAGTCATTGATATGTTCACTTAGAAATTAGTCATGTTTTATTACTTCATCTACAAGGTCTACAACGTACAAGTACGACTTGTACGAGAAACGTACTTGTTGATACAAGATCTGAGTGCACTGCTACTGTGCCCATCACCCTAAGGGAGAAAAGGTGACAAGTCCTTGTCTATCTATTTTGAAGGAGTAAAATGTTATAATATAAAAGTAACGGGACTTACTCGCGTAGTATTTTAGTCGGAAGCGGTCCGACTAGTTTCGACCATAATCGATGGTCTTCTTCAGGGGTTGAGTGCAACGTTCGCGACCGCGTCACGTCTAGCACTGACGCAGTCCGCAGTGGGGAACTCGGGAGGCTGATACGTTGCGCCTGCGCGTCCTGGAACTCTTCTTTGCTACTGCTGTCCGTAGGATTGTTGTCGGGAACAGTCCAGCACACAGAGCTTACCACGTCGTTACCACTAACATCTGCAGCTGCATACCGAGCGCCATG